TAAGGTGGAGAGAAGTCTGAGTGAGTTCCACAACGGAGAGACAAAAGCCAGAGACCAAAGAGCCAGTGAGTGTAGAGAATGTGGGATTCAGCAGATGCCTGGAACAGGCACACGAATTCTGGGGCAGGCTTTGAATGCTCTCTGGGCCAGAAATCTGAATTTAACTGGTCAGGGTTGGGGCAAGAAGTCTTCATCTTTTCAAAAATATCATCAATTCTGCTTGGTTAGATTTTACTTTGAAGGTGTTTAATAGGGTGCCCTGGCTGAGAGAGGACCCCAAAGTTCCTGATACCTTAATGAGAGAGAGCAGGAGGGTAGGGTAGGGATGCACAAAAAATGCATTGTTGTTTAATGTACCAAAAATGTTCATAATTCCCATCAGCAAATGCTGTTTTCCTTGAGCAAAATTATAAGATGGACCATTGGTTACAAAGCTGCATACAGAGGACAGATATCTACCCATCTTCTTAGGGGAAGCTGTGAAATCCCCCTTAACCCAAAAGCAGATGTTGAGTTGTTCCTGTTTGGAAATACATACTGCTGTGTTTAAGCTCATTTTTGTCTCTGACTCTTGTTGTCTGTCTCTTGGTGGGGGAAGGTGGGAGTGGGTAGAGGTCAGCCAAGGAAATGCTAGGGGAGGGGGAAGGTTTTGCTGGAATTTGGGTGACTCCAAGTGTTGAAGAGGAGAGGAGAGAAGCTAAAGGCTCTGCTTAGGTGAGAGGCTTTGTGAGACTTCTAGTCTAAGCTGTTGTGCTTTTGAGATAAAGGGACAACAGCACAGAGCTGGGGAGATTGCTCCTGTCCCCACAGGCACGCAGACCTCAGAGCCTCTCTGGTATGTTGGGGAGTGCTGGTTTTAGGAATATTGAGAAATAGTCCCTTAAGCAGAAGCCCTCAAGCACTGAAAACTATGAAAGCAAGGCTCCTCCATGGGGCTGGGGGTCAGAGCCAGAGAGGAAGGACATGGCTCATGCTGCATGGTCACTGAAAGGGATGGGTTTTGTAAGCTCTTAAGAGGAACACCTCAGGGAATCAAAGAGATAATTTGGGACTTTTGGGGGAGGGCAGGAGGAGGGCTGGATTTCAGGCATAACGTCAGAAGTGATGATGCAGAGTTGTCATTTGAGGTAACAAGAGAAGGGTGACTTTATCAATACCCCAGGATGACGAATAGTGTATACAGTGCTCACATTCTATTGGAACAACATAACAATAAGGATCTGGCAAATAGGCTCTGAACATGAAGATAGCAAGGTAATCTGAGAATTAATGAAACATCCAGGTGATCTGTGACTCATTTTTACTCTTTCTAAATCCACAATACAATTTCAATTTCACTGTAAAAATGCACAATTATCTATTGTACCTTCACCTCAATGACTGCAGCCTTTCACTATTCCCAGCCATGCATCTTGGAACACAGTTTAATACTTAAAGTCCATCAGGGGTGAGCTGTGGAGTTAGCAAGGTCAGCTGGGGTGCTCTTTCTGAGGTTCCTAAGGAATGAAAAACTACAATTGCTTGGTGACACAGAAAAGAATCTCTTCGCAGGGCTATCGCCTCTACACGCTCCGCTCCACATTTTTCATAACAAAGCACTGAAACAAACAATAACAGGAGAATTTTTATCTTTTCCTCTGCAGGAAGAATGCCCGAGGAGGCTATTGCACTAGTTAATGTGATTGCACGCTGAATGTCCTAAATTATCCTCCAATACCTCAAGAATATGGTTCAATTATTGGATAAGACTTCTACAACAAATGCCCGAGAAACAGAATACATAAAGGAGAAGTTAGAGAGAAAATATCACTCACAGTACGTGTATATAATGTAGCTTATGGTGATGATTTCTTTATCTTTCAGCTTCCTAGCTACTTTAGTTCTTTAGTTCTGGCGGGGAGGGGTCAGGGGAGGCTAATAAAGCCCTACAACGGAGCTTCGCGACCCTCCATCCTCAGGTTGCCATGTTTAGACAATGCATGAACACTAGATGGCGCCCATAATCTTAAATATAGCAAAAGGCTGGTTGTTTTTCTTTATAGAGAAGTATGGCGACCTCGTTAGGAAAAGAGTCAAGTGTGGGACTCAAGCATTTCCTACTAGTGTTGTCCTGTGAAGTGCTTCTCATGTGAGGGTTTGGTGGTCAAATAAGTTTGGGAAAACACTACCTATGAAGAGACTCCCAATACACACTGGTAAACCAGATGTTTTTCACATATAATAGATATATTGATATATTTGCCTTTAGGTTGTGAATATTTTAAGTACAGGATATTTATCTTATTCTTTGAGATCTCAAGTCCTAGTACAAAATCTGTGACATAGTAAGTCATTAATAAAATAAATTATCTCTAAAGTTTGTATAGTCTGTGTAGAAGAATCATTCTGGAATGCAGGCATGGGCATTCTGCCCCTGATTAGAGGGTTAATTATCTCTTATTCAAGTCTCTTAAGACCAATTGAGGACAGGGACCTACGCCCAGCTCCTCTCTCTGGGGATTCTAGTTCTCTTTTCTGAACTTACTATATTACTGTTAGCATAAGTTATTTACAAAATAATCTTACACGATCTAGTAATAGAATTTGCATTTAAGTCTTGATTGCTATTTAGAGTTTTTGTTCTTGTGTTTTCCAGGAAGGTATAGCTTGTCCTTATATATCTAGTGTAAGCTGTAGATGCAAAATATCATATCCTCTATATTCCATTGTTAATAATTCTGTTCTTCTGCTGTCCTTCCATATTGTAATGTTTGAGTGTTTCGAGCCTGTTTATTCTTTTCTTTCAGTATTAACCATGAAATTCCAATACTGATCCTTGAAACTAGCCAATTTCTAGCTACAGTTTAAATAACTTCTTGCAAACTAAAAAAGAGAAACGTTCCCTCTTCCTCGTCAATTGCAAAAAGCAGATAATATTTTTATCATTGAACTGTCTTTGCAAATGTTATACATAAGAAAGGATAGGGTTTCTGAACATCAGAGACTATTATAATATTCTGTGGATTCTATGTTGTACACACTCTTGTGATACTGGGCAGTGAGTGTCAATTCCCACTCAGCTACGCCATCACCAAGGTAAACAACTGATACACTTATAACCACTCTGCACCCATATATAATCATTATTTTCATTTTCAGTACAGTATTCAATAAATCATATGAGATAGGCAACCCTTATAAAATATATTTTTTTAAGATTTTATTTATTTATTTGACAGAGAGACACAGCGAGAGCAGGAACACAAGCAGGGGGAGTGGGAGAGGAAGAAGCAGGCTTCCCGCTGAGCAGGGAGCCCGATGTGGGACTCGATCCCAGGACCCTGAGATCATGACCTGAGCCGAAGGCAGACGCTTAATGACTGAGCCACCCAGGTGCCCAACCCTTATAAAATATTATAAAGTAGGCTTTGTTTTAGGTGATTTTGCCCAAAAGTAGGCTAATTTAAGTGTTCTGAGCATGTTTACTAAATGCATTTTTGACTACAATATTTTCAGCTTACATGGGGCTTATCAGGATATAACCCCATTGTAAGTCCAGGAAGATATGTATCATTTAAGTGTAGACAAGTAGGCAGAGGGGAGTAGTCAAAGGGGTGACATTTAGCTCTTGGATGACAAAACAAGGTCCTACCATGGGACCTGACCCTATTTCTCCCATACTCAATCCATCCAGACATCTGCTAGCTAAGGAATAAGCAGAGGACTATTAAGTACTCTTAATAGCAGAGAACTACCGGAATGAATAAGGCAAGGCTGTCCATTCAGACCACTGGACACTTTGCTCAGGTCAATTGACTATATTACCCAGGTATCGTGTGTGTGAGGGAAAGGTGGGGATGGCATGATAGCTAACAAAGATAAGGTCACTTCAAAAATTCTAGTTATAAATCACAACTATAAAACAAAGACAAGTTTTTCTAAGTACACAATGAAAACCACAAAGTAAGTGCTTCATTGAGTTATGAGACATAAACTCAGCCATAAGAACTAGGCTCCTTAGATTATTTCCCATTATTTGCATGATTACCAAAATTTCAGTATGGTCATGAACACTCACAATGTTTTTAACTACCTGTCACAGAGTTTATACCAGAAAGAAAGCTTGACCTATTGGAAAGAAGCAGGCAATAAATATTTCAATAAAAGAAAGGAGACGAAAGGAGGGAAGACAGATGGAAGGGAGGACGGGGGAAGGGAAGGAAGGAGAGAAGAGAGAGGGCAGGTATGATGGGCATTAAAATTGAACATTTAGGGGGGCCTGGCTAGCTCAGTCAGTAGAGCATGTGGCTCTTGATCTCCGGGTTGTAAGTTTGAGCCCCATGCTGGATGTAGAGATTACTTAAACATAAAATCTTAAAAAAAAAAAAAAGCCCTGAATATTTAAATCCCAGCTCTTATTCTCTCTAGTTAGGTAAACACTGACTTAACCTCTCTGAACCATATTTTTTTCCTCTCAACATGGGGCATTAGCTTTCATGGTGATTGTGAGAATCAAAAATTACTTCTATAAAATGCTTGAATAGTAAGTGCTTAATAACTTGTTGCTGGTAATTCTTGCATTTAGGTAAATGGTGCTGCTGCTACCACTTATCAGTGGCATCCGACTGCGTATTTCATGTATTTTCTTATATAGTTATATGCAACAAACTATACGCTTATAAAGGTGCTGTTTTTAGAGTATAGTCACGGATTTGGAAAAAAAATCTGCATTAAAAATAAATAATACCTTAAAAAGCATGATTCTCAATGCTCTATTGGATGCATTATACATGTCGTAACGTCTACATGAAAACACTAGCACTTTTACCTGTATCTGAGGGAACTGAGTTACAAGCACCAAGCACTTCAACACCATTTAAACCACAACATGTACTGGAAGCCATAATGCTCTCCTCCATTTTTCCTTTTTAATTAAGGTGCTTCTGGAGTCAAAATTGAAAGTGACTTTTTCTCAAATGGTGTCAGATATGGAGGAATAAAGATTAAGAAGAAATACTCACGGAGAGGATCTGGTCTCCTCTCTGGAGCTCCCCACTCAGGTCTGCCGGTCCACCAGCCAGAATGAAGGATACAAAAATACCTTCTCCATCTTCCCCGCCTACGATGTTGAAGCCCAGGCCAGTGGAGCCTTTGTGCAGGACCACCTTGCGCGGCTCCCTGAAGAAACAAGTAGAAAACAGAGCTCACAGGGTGACCCATTCAAGATTTAGATCGCTTTTACTTTCATTGAGATATATGAAACCAGCAATTCACTACTGATAAAATGGCTTCCCAAAATATGACACAGTAGCACTCCAAGAAAAATGCTAATATTGGGGCAGTTATATAGTGCATTTCTCACTATAACAAATGCTAAAGTACCATGCAAAGTCATTCCTTAATTCCAAAATATTTTCTTAAACTGGCCTCACTTCCACTTTTCCTTTATTTAAAATATCTGTTCTTGTATTTTTTTAAATTGAGACATAATTGACATAGAACATTATTTAGCTTCAGGTGTACAATGTAAGGATTCAATAGGTGTATACATTGTGAAATGATCATCAGAATGAGTGTAGTTAACATCCTCCACCACACATAGTTACAATTTTTTTCTTGTGATGAGAACTTTTAAGATCGACTCTCAGCAACATTCAAATATACAATGCATTATTATGCACCATGTTGAATACCATGTCCCAAGGACTTACTTATTTTAAAACTAGAAGGTTGTATCTTTCAACCACCTTCACCCACTTCACTCTCCCCACTCGCTTGCTCTTCTACTGAGCACTGCAGTGGTGCTCAGTAGGATGGATGTGTCCAAAAAAAGGAAGAGAATTTGGGGGACAAGAGACGAGACTGAATAGGCCAGATAATGAAATATCTTACATGTTTGACTGTTAATTAAAATTTACTCCATAATAGTGAGACCCATTGGAAGATTTTGAGGCATTGAGAATATTTAAATCCATTTCAGGAGCATTAACAAATGGTCGTATGTAGGATTGCTGGAGAGGAGAGTGAAGATACGATGCGAGGTAGGAAGATCGGTTAGGATGTTGACTAAAATAATACAGATTTGAGGAAGTGAGAGTATGAACAAGGGTTGCAGCAGTGATAATGAAAACAAAGGGTGACATGAGAGAGGAAATCTGAAAGGAGAAACAGTGGGTCCAGAGACTGACTCAGGTAGTAGAGGAGCGAGGGATAAATATCTAAGTAACTGGCAAAAGGAAGGGGAGCTAGGATCCAGGACCACAAGGATGAGTATGATTTTGACATGCTCCATTCCGGATAATGGTGCATGATCCACATGGCATTCGGAAGCTGTTGGAGACAAAAGGTTAGGAATATGGATCCACAAGGAGGACTGCAAATGCAGATTTCAGGGTCATCAATAAAAAGATCAGAGATAAAATCTTGAGCCATTAGTTAATTGAGTTTGTGTAGAGGCTAGATAACTATAGAATATAGAATTTTAAGGTATCTTAGAAGTCATCTAGTTCTATTTTTCTTATAAGTAGTTTTAAAAAATGTATTCTGTAAGCCTTGGGTTTGACTAAGGCACCTTTCGTATCACCCACCCTCCTCTCAGAAGTATCCCAGTTTCAGTCATTAAAGTTTCTCTCATATTTTCTTGCACTTAATGATGTAAGAATGGCAAAGAGTGATCCAATATATTTTTATACTAATGACTGCACAGAGTCTATTATTCATTATCACATTCCCATGTACAAAGCTATGTGTTATATATCTATGTTTAGCCTAGTTTTGAGGAAGGCTGTAAAATGCACATATAGCTTGGACTAAAAATACTACAATGCAATGCATTAAGTCAGAGGCAACTTGACATAGAGTTCCTTTATTTTATTCTACAAATACTTCATAAGCACTACCATACCAGGAATTGTTCCAAGTACTTAGAAAGTTTATACACAAAACAAACATCCTTGCCCCATTTAACTAAATACCTGGATGCCCTGTGACCCAGTCAAGATGACATAATATAATTAACTATCACAAAGACTGAGCACCCTGTTTCCTTGCTGGCTGCCAGTTGGGGGCCTCTCTCAGGTTCTAGAGGCTATTCACATTCCTTGTTATGTGGCTACCTCTATGTTCAAGCTGGCAATGACACACTGAATTGGACTTTTCTCATTTGGAATTTCTGTGGCTTGCTCTTCCACAACTAGATAGATCTAACTTTTTGCTTTTCAGTGGTTTCTGTGATTAGGTTAGGCCTACCCAGATAATCTCCCTACCTTAAGATCAAGTGATTAGTAACCTTAAGTACATTTGCAAATTCTTTTTTCCATGTAAGGTAATTTAACTGTGGGAGTAACATCATGGGGTAGAAATCATGAGGCCATCTTAGAATTTTGCCTACCACAGGCAAAGAGACAACAGGGGACAAATCCTGAAGGGCCTTGTGTAAAAACACTGATTTTTACTCTGACAAAATGGGGAACCACTGAGAAGAAGATTATTTGATCTAATTTATGTTTTTAAACGGTTCCTTTGGTATAAAAAAGATCCAAGGGGCCAAGTTCGAAAAAGTGATATGAGTTATGCGTCTAGTTGCTATATGCAGGCAAAATAGTGGCTTGGCTGAGGATGGTATTAAAGGAAGTGGTAGGCAGTGGGTACATTTCCAGTAAGTCCTCTCTCTGTCCAGACTGAGTAATTTGTTTTTCTATCTGCACATTCAGTGATTCTTCCTTCTGTCTTATTTATTCTGTTCTTGAACCCACTCAATGAGTTTTTTACTTTGGTTTTTGTATTTTTCAGTTTTAACATTCCATTTGGTTCTTCTTTATATCCCTTTTTCCTTTGCTGACACTTTCATTTCTTTTCCCATTTATTTAAGTGTATGTGTAATCACTGAAGCATGATGAGTACTTTAAAATTCTTGTCAAATAATTCTAACACCTGTGTTATCTCAGTGTTGTTATCTGTTGGTTATCTTTTCTCATTCAAGTTGAGATCTTCCTGGTTCTTGGTATGAGAAGTGATTTTATTATATACTGGACATTTGGGTATTACAGTGTAAAATGCTATATCCTACTTAATTGTAGTTTTTTGTAGGTTGTAGATCAGTTTAGGTATAGCCTGCAGATCCAAATGAGGTGGATATTCAGCTCCCCACTTATCCCTGGTGACACCAGGGAGGAAAGTGGGGTACTAACTAGTATTCTACTCACTCTACCTCATTGCCACTTAGTACGGGTAGAAGCTTAGCTCCCTATAGGTCCACTGACACCAACGAGGGAGTGAAAATGGGGTGCTGACTAGCACTGCCTTGAACCATTTTGTTCTGACTCCTTGCCTCTAGGTAGGGCTAGAAGTTCAGCTGCCCCCTCCGCCCTGCTGACTACCCTAGGGGGAAAGTGGTCTGTCAACTAGCACTGCTTCCCTCTTCCTCCTTCTACCTCATTGCCACCGGCCAGCAGTAGCAGTTCAGCTCCTGGCTGGTCTCCACCAGTACCAGGAGTAGGGAAATGGAAAGCTAACTAGCATCACCTTATTCCAGCTTGTTGCTGCTCGGTGAAGGTGCAAGTTCAGCTCCCCACTGGAGAGCGGAGTGTCAGCTAGCATCATCTCATGCCACCTTGTTCTACCTCTTTACTGCTGGATAGGGGTGAAAGTTCAGCTCTTATTTGGCCCACTGACACCAGCCCAGTGGAGGAAGTCTAGGGCCATCTTAGAATTGCTCTCCAGGTTTCCTTTGGTGGGACCGGAAGTCTAGCTATCTGCCCAGTCCACTGGCACTGCAGTGAGGGGATAGTTTTTCCTTTGGTGTTTGGCTAGAGTTGGAACAGTATTATCAAAAGGTTGGGGAAATCAGAGGGGGGAGACGAACCACGAGAGACGACGGATTCTGAAAAACAAACTGAGGGTTCTAGAGGGGAGGGGGGTGGGAGGATGGGTTAGCCTGGTGATGGGTATTAAAGAGGGCATGTCCTGCATGGAGCACTGGGTGTTATGCCCAAACAATGAATCACGGAACACTACATCAAAAACTAATGATGTAATGTATGGTGATTAACATAACAATAAAAAATTAAAAAAAAAGTTTCCCCATTCTATTAGTCTGCCCTTTTGCCAATTCTTGGGTTACAGGTTGCAGGCTTTTCTTGAGGCTTTTTTAGTCTGTTCCTGTTGACAGAGATGCCAGGGTGTAGGTGTCTCCAGGGTTCCATCCAGGATACACAGGAAGTAGAAAGAAAATTCAGGGAACTCACCACAGTGTCATTCCTCTCTGAGCCAGTCTTATTTCCAGTTTGTATAGTCTTCCCATGATTATCATGTGTAAAGTTCTGTGTGTGTGTGTGTGTGTGTGTGTGTGTGTGTGTGTGTATTAATAAGAGGGAGGATTAGAGAGAAATGGGGATACTCTATTTTTGGCTGCAACCAGAAGTCCAGGTTCTGGATACATTTTGAAGGTAAGGGCCAACAGGATTTTGATGAAAAAGTTATTGTAGAAATACCCCTCTTCCTTCAGTCTAAAACACATACTCTTAGTAGGTCCAGTGACTTTCAAACTATACATAGTAAACACAGATGGAGGGAAGGGGCTATTACAATTCTAATGCTTATCTATGTGCTAGATGTGCTTGAAATTTTTTGATGCTTTCCATTTATTCCTCAAGACAATCCAATGATGGATTCACAGAGATGTCTGCAACTCTTTTGAAACTAAGCCAAAAAGGAAGACAGATTGATGACTGGATAGATGGATAGGAGTTTTATAGAGCATGCGTAGTAATACATTAAAAGTGCAATCTAGATGGCAAGCACATACATTTTCATTTTAAAAATCTTTAAATTTTTTATGTTTGGAAAATTTTTATAACAATATCCTGAGAAAAATAACCTAATGAACAAATTGTTATGAAAACTTTTTTGATTAGTGAAATGAGATTGCTTACCCAAGTTTTTACTGAGTTTAATAAGTAGCGAAGGCAGGATTAAGACACAGATTTTCTGACTCAAAATCCCAGAGTCTAGACTATGATATATTCCAGAGACTGCAAATCAGAAAGCTAAAGGCTTCATTTGATCTAGTGTTTACAATTTTTTGAATTTGTCCATGTTTAAAATTGGGAAAATTTGCATAAAATACAGATTTATGACTTTATATGAAAAATCAGACATTCTATGAACACTGGCTCTTA